TCGGAAGAGAAAGAGGTACTTAACCTGTTATTAACGTGTCAAAATTCCTACAAAAGATGGGCTGTATTATCAATCAAATGTTTCTCAAACTAAAAAAACAATTGAAGTTTTTTACTTAGCAGAAAAACTTTCAAAATAATAAAGCAAAACCTTTATGACAGACCAAAGGAAACGAGAACTCTACAAAAGACACCTTGCTCACCAGGCCAAGCTATTCTTTCTGTTTTTCAGCTCTAGCTCACCAAGCCAAGGGCTCAGACAAACAGGTTCCTGTAATTAAACAAAGCAACGAGCAACAGCTGAGCTGAAGCCATTTCAGTGCACATGGGGTAATTCAGGTTAACTTCACTACCTTCCACTTTGGTTGAGGCTGCAGTCTCACATGAATTCGCTGAAACATTCTGAATATTAAGTCTTTTTCTATCTGGAAAAGTCTTAGATAAGACCTAGAGAGCAAAAAAAAAAAAGGTGCTGGGGCTCAGGTGATACACAGAAACTTTTCAATATCTAGGGTCTTTGCTGATTCCTCTTGGTATTAATCTGGGTGTAAATAAAAGCAGAATTTGGCTGCATATTTGCTTATCCACAACAAAGTAAAAAGGCAGAAGCTTCAGGCCCGTTTACCTAAAAAAGGTTCTTTGTGGAAACAGCACTGACATAACCTATCAGGAAATCGAAAAAAAGGTAACTTGCCTTTTAAGAGCTTCCTGCGCGCCTGGCACAGCCGAGTCTTCGATGTGAAGTGTGCCGCTGAGATCCACCAAGACAGCTTTCAGCGCGCGCCGAGCTGCCATCCTTCCTTCCCTTGGGAAAAGGCAAATAAATGAAACAACAAAAAACCGGTTAGCAGACAATGGATAATAAAAATAAGAAAGTCAGTTAAGCGCCTCATTTGTGCCAAGCCCGGTATTACTCAGAACATTACTCGCAGTATTAAATGGGCCCCTTTAGACAGAGAAATAAAAGGCAGTGTTTAAAAAAAATACATAATTGATGGGGTGGTATTTTCCCAAAGACTCTATATATGGAAATCAGGTGCTATTTGTTTTTTAAGTGCCTTTATTTGTGCACGTCGAAAAAAAATTCTCTAAACAACTAAGACTGTTGGGAAGATGATCATAAGGTCTGGTATGGCTGGTTCAAAGGCTCAGCAAGCACATTTCAGCAAGTCCCATCGACACCAATGGCGCTGTTTCAAGTAAAAATAAATACAATACCACTAAGCGATGATACAGTGCTCTGGCTATAAAGCTCAAAAAGCTCTGCAAAAGTGGATATTGTTAATTTTATTTTTATTAGCGAGACCTACGGTGATCCAGCCCACAACACAATTCAGGTGTCCAAACTCTTGGGTTATTCAGCAGGCGAGTGCTAGTGTGGATTTAGCCTGGAAGCTCTCAGGGCTCAGGGATATTCAGCACCCCGAAGGGTTACTCCTTCCTCTTGCAAAGGGGACAGTCAAGCAGTTTTTTTTGTTAGAAAATAACAACTGCTGATCTGTCATTGCTAGCAAGTCATCACGATTTTATATTGAGCCCTTGTGGTTACAGAAAGAACACATAACATGGATGTACTTTTAAAAAACACACAGAGTAGTCAACAGCGTGATTATAATCTGCCTTAATAAACTTAATTTTCTATCAGGACAGCTTTATCTTTGCAGTTTTCTCAATGATCAAGATCACATGAACTTGATGCCTCAGGTACAAGAGACACACACACAGAAAACTTTGAGATTCCACTTTCATTATT